GCTCTTAGATAAGGAGCTGGTTAGTTAGTTCCTGGGACCAGCTCGTTCCTGGAATTTTAGTGTGTCTGGGTCTGCCTGATCCCTTAGAAGCTGCTTTACTTAGAATGTCATTGGCAAGCATTTGTTACAAAACTGTGTATACTAAAGTTTATATTTTTCTACAATCTTCATAATGAACAAAAAAAAGTTGGAGATGACTTAAATATCTAGCCTTGGGCCATTGGGTACAATTTATGGTACAGCTATGTAGGGTACTGTGCATGCATGGATCATAGGAGATCCATGGGTACATACATATTATGTAGCCATTAAAATGACACTGCAGAAGCCTTTAACATGGTGCTCTAGAAGACTGCTTAATGACACAGCACTCAGTAAACCACACCTAGCTTTATCACATCTTTACAAAAAAATCTGGAAAACAGAAAGCAAAACAAAGTCTAAAAACAGGAAGGGTATGCTATCTGTAGTTATCCTGGGTGGAGAAAGAATGGGTATTTTTTTTCCTTCTTGTCAATTATATTTTCTAAAATTTATAGACTGAACATAACTTTCTTTGGCACAAGGAAAACCAGTTACTTTAAAAACAAATGCTATCTACCCAGACAGCTGTAATAACATACAAGGATACTTTAAAAAGCTAGTGGAAAAATAGAATTAAAAGATAAAACACATCTTTTCATGAACTTTTAGAAGTACCCTCATATGAGTTGAAAATTTAGGCTCAGTTAGAAATGCTTCCAAAATGATTGAGATTCAGCTGGCATTTGTAACTGCATAAACAACATACTGTAGGTCAATGGGAGACTGAGCAAGTTTGGTGTTTTGGCGATTGGAATCTGTTGTCCGCAAGCCTTATCTAAACACAGGACTTGGGCTGGATCTGTTGTTTTCCTACCCTTGCTTTTGTTACCACTAATAGTGAGTAGCACAAGGATTTGATGACTGTAGTAGAGTTTGATTTGCTTAATCTGCAACTTGCTCTAAAAATGCTCAGCCCCAGGAGGGGTGGGTCTGGGTGAACAGATGGCTGGTTTGGGCCTTGGGAGAGAGGCTGGCTCCTTCCGGTGAGGGCTGTCATTCTGGAAGGGGCTGTGAAGTGGCAGGAGTGACCAGGTCTGGCTGTGGGAGGAGCAAGGGCGCTTACCTTCTTGCGTGCGTTAACATAAGTGCCTCTGGAGTTCAGCCTGCAACTTTGCTCTGCTTTTCTCCCTGCAGGCCAGGATAGAGCCAATTGTGTGGAGCTCTGCAGTGAGCAGCCCAGAGAGAAGCAGTGGATGTTATGGAGCCCAGCTGAAATGAACTGGCACCCTTGATCTTGTCTCAAGCCCTGGTGGCAGGTTTTATCCCAGCACTGAGGTAAGACCCCTTGAATCCCAGCTTGGAGAAAGAGAGAACAGAATGCCTCTTTGGGGGGTCTGGAGAGGGGGTTGCAGTGGGGTAGGTGGAAACTTCCTCCTCTAAGGTTCAGGAAAGATCAAGCAGTTGTTTCCCGTTCAGTCAAACCATCTGTTTTGACCTCAGCCCATTAGGAGGCAAGGTCATTTTGTGGAATCTAGACAGGGAGTTGTATTTTCTCAATTGCTGATGAAATTTGAACTCCAAAGGAAATGAATTTATCCTCCAGGTAAGACTGCACTAGATTTAGGCAAATGCTTAACTTAAGGGCACCTGCTATCTTCTGCAAGGGAAGTCAAGCTGTTAGGAAACACACACACACACACACACACACACACACACTCTCTCTCTCTCTCTCTCTCTTTCTCTCTCCCCCCTCCACCCGAGAGAAACAGAGTGACAGAAATTATGCAGGGAGGTAATTCCAAACATAAGCTCACTAATAAATGATTTTAATTTCCTAGATATGTTCTGATTATAAAGGTAATATGTGCTTATAGGACATTTGGAAAAATACTGATGTGGAAGAAAATAAAACATGTGAAATTCTACCTCTGTTAACAATCCTTCAGGTAGTGTCCTATTAAGGTTATTGTTTAAGCTTCCATAGGATGTGGATTCTTCATGCCTGAAGGTAGAGAGGCAAGGCCCAAAGAACATTCAATTAGGAGCCTGGAGAACTTGCCTCTGGTCTGGAAACTCTCTAGAGCCAATTTTTAAATATTCAGGAATTTTGCAAACTGGTTAAGAATTGTTAAACACTGTTGATGGCTTGAAATTGGCCATGGTGGGAAAATTTATGCCACGGAAATTTAAAACAATGCTACAAACCAGGGCGTTTTAGTTTTGGAGATTCCAATTACAGTAGCACAACACTGGTTCCAGTGCTGATTCTACCACCAACGGGAGGTGAGGTATCAGGCAAGTCACTTCACCTATGTGTCCCTCTGTTTCCTCACCTACAAACAGTTGGTGCTCAATAAACATTAGTTGCATGAATAAATGAGAGGGAGATTTCTGTTACCTCATAAGACAGTTGCAGGGGTCCCATAAAATGATGAAAATGAAAATGTTTTGCATATGGTGAGGCCCCCGCCCGTGTGTGTGTGTGTGTGTGTGTGTGTGTGTGTGTGCGTGCGTGCGTGCGCAGGGGTCCCATAAAATGATGAAAATGAAAATGTTTTGCATATGGTGAGGCCCCCGCCCGTATATGTGTGTGTGTGTGTGTGTGTTTGTGTTGTGGGGGGGGAGGGGTTAGTTGATTGGGAAAGCTTTGGTTTATTCATGCAGAGAAGTTGGCAGCATTGCTCACTTTTGCTCTTGCTTCTTGGGCAGTCTGTGAATTACTGACACCCTTTCATAAAGGCAGATGAAAACCCTCCACTTACTGACCAACATCTGTGGCACATTTCCTTCCCGTAAAAGTCAAGAAGTTGGTCAAAGTGTGAAAAGGAAGCCTCAGCAATGCTGGAGGTGAGAGCCAGGGCCAAAATCAGAGCTTTTGACTCATAATCTCTAATGGGGGTGGGGAGACTTCCTGCCAAATGCGAAATTTCAACAAAAGCCTCTTTCTTCAAGGCCCTGCTGTTGCAGCAGATTAGAACTAATTAAATTAACATAGTGGAGTCCCAGCCTTTGCCTTCCTCCTTCTACTTCTGAATCTCCTAGTTCAATTTCTGTACCTCTTTCATGTGTCCTGAAAAAGGGGGTGGGGAGAGGTGGAGTAATTGTTAAGCACCCTTTATCTCTATGGAATTGTAAGTTCACAAAATGATAAAGGTGGTGAGGACTATAGAGGCTATCTGGGCCCACACCCTCATTTTAAGAAGCCAGGTGACATAGCTGCAGGTTCTCAGGGCCTGAGTGAAGTTATGTGCTCCTGGGGAGGAAGAAAACCCAGATTGGGGGGTGGGAGATGGGGCGCTGCTTGGGTGGCCACCTGATCTCTGAGCCTTTGAATGTAACTGGCCAGAGGACCTGGTGGATGGTCTCCAGGTGACAGCCCTGACTCTCTCCCTCCAGGCCCTGCCCTGTATCTGATGCCTCAGCCCCAAAGTACTTCCTGAGCTGCCCCTCTAGTGTGCTTGGAATTAAGTCCTCTTCCTCATCAGGAGTTTGGTTTTCCAGGTCAGAAGAACCAGCTAAGGAGATCTTATTCTGAGGACCTGTAGTTATGTTCATGAGGAAGGGAGGGAAAGAAGGGCACTGACTGAGCTCATGATAGTTCCAGGTACTGTGTTTTGTGCTCTACATTATCCTGTTTAATTCTGCCATGGCCTAATAGGGTACCTATCCCCATATTGCAGATGTGGAAATTGAATCTCAGAGAGATAAAGAGACTTGCCCAAGATTTCACAGTTCATAAGCAACAGAGATGTAAACTAGGCTGTCTGTGACCGCCACAGCTTCTCAAAGCTAGGGAGTGTTCTTTACAGCAAGTACTCGCCCACGCAGGGGAGTTCCAAAATCCAGTTCCAATAGGCAGAGTCCCTTCCCTTGGGGAATATGTTTCCACCTTTGAATCTATGTAAACAGCTGCAGCTCAAAGTGCTTGGAGCTTTTCAAAATGTTGCATGGTTCCTTGCAAACCCCAAGGGCTCTTACAGAGCTGGGAGCATTCATAGAGTCTTGTAGTGTAGTCCCCTCCCACACGCGAAGCCCCGGGGGGTGAGCTGCACTTCCGGTGGGCCCCCAGGCCTTCCAGCCAGATAGCTGGGGGGGGGTGTTGGTGGTCCTCAGCCTCTGGACCCTCAGAGCTGGTTCGGGGGAACACATTGAGATGGATATTGTTGGTTTTCCTCTGCGGTCGGGGAAGAGATTATTCCTCTGGCAAGAGGGATTTAATTCACTTCTACAGATATTTCCTGAAAGCCGACTGTGTGCCCAGGCAAATATCTGAGCCTGTTCCTGCCGGCCTTGGACATGCAGATCTGACAAGGGACTAGGGGAGGAGCTTCCCTACATGAAGACTGTGTAGGACCTTCTCTTTCTCATCCATCCTGCAACCGCTCATCTCTGGCCTTTCCTTCAAGAGCTCTAGCCAGAGAAATGATGTCTCACGTTGCTGTGGGTCCCAGGGTTCCCCACCCCTGAACACAAGAGTTTTAAATGCTCACCCTTCTAACTGGGGAACAAAGCAGTAAACGGAGGGTCAGGGGCTTTTGCAGAGGGGTAGGCCTGGGGGAAGAGACAGCTGTGGTGGGAGCAAGCTGGGTAGGCGCTGCTAAGACGGGTGTGGCCTCTGCCTTCAGCTGCAGAAGGAGAAAAACTGTTCAGCAGGGCACCCAGATAGCATGATTTAGGGCAGAAAGAGTTCCTTGGAAGGCTTGTTGGTTAGTGCGCACATCTTTCATCTGAGGAAGTGGAGGCCTGGAAAGGGGAAGGGACTTTTTTGCAGCAGAAGTGGAACCAGTGTCTGTTCTCCTGACTGTCTGGGTGGGGTCCTGACTTGACCATAGTGGCATGACCATCTGGACTTTCTCACGCAGTTTCCTCATCTGCAAAATAGGCTGAATAATGTAGTACCTATCTTGAGAGAAGATTTATATATCTATATAGGTAGCTTGCCAGTATGGGGATCCCAACATTTGACCTTGGTGTTATCAACACCGTGCTCTAACCCAAATAATTTTTTATTTTTTTTTGTCTTTTTGTCTTTTTTCGTGACTGGCAACGGATCGCAACCCTCAGTGTCACGCCCGTACCGGACCGGGACCGGCAACGGGATCGCAACCCTCGGTGTTGCCCCTGCTCCTCGCTCAGCCAGTGAGTGGCCAGTCTGTATGTGGGATCCGAACCCTCGGCGGGAGCGCTGCCGCACTTCCCAAGCGGCGCACTGTAGCAGTGCGCCACCGGGCCGGCCCCCAAATAATTTTTTATATAAAGTTTTTCCCCACAATGTAGATGCCTATTAAATGGTACCCATTATTATTTTTTCTTGTTCCTTTGTTGAGGCGTAATTGACAATCAAAGCCCTGCACCTAGTTAAATTGTACATCTTGATGAATTTTAACATATGTACACACTCATGAAACTATTCCCACAATCAAGTTAATGAACATAACAGTTACCCCTAAAGTTTGCTCCTGAGCCTTATCCTTCCCTCCTGCCCCTTTCCATCTTCTGTCCTTCATCCCTAAGCAACCACAAATCTGCTTTCTATCACTATAAATTAGTTAACATTTTCTAGACTTCATGTATGTGGAATCATACAGCATGTACTCTTCTTTCACTCAGCATAATTATTTTGATGTTCATCCATGTTGTTGTGTGTATCAACAGTTTATTCCTTTATTGCTGAATTGTAAAGGATATATAGATATACCACAATTTACTTATGCATTCACTTGTTGACAGACATTTAGGTTGTTTCCAGTTTGGGGCTATAAAAGAAAGCCACTATAAGCATTTGTGAAAAAAATGTTGTGGGAAAATATGCATTCATTTCTTTTGGGTAAATTCCTAAGAGTAGAATGGCTAGGTCACATGGTATGTGCGTATTTAATTTTTTAGGAATTTGCCAGACTGTTTTTCAGAATGTGTGCACCATTTCACATTGCTGCCAGCTGTGTATTAGAGTTTCAGGTGCTCTACCTCCTTGTCAGCATTTGGTATGGTTGATCTTTTTAGCTTTAGCCATTTTAAATTGGTATGCAGGGCCGGCCCTGTGGCTCATTCAGGAGAGTGCGGTGCTGGTAGCGCTGAGGCCGCGGGTTCGGATCCTATATAGGGATGGTTGGTGCGCTCACTGGCTGAGCGTGGTGCTGAGGGTTGCGATCCCCTTACTGATCAAAAAATAAATAAATAAATAAATAAATTGGTATGCAGTGATATCTTGTTGTGGTTTTATTTGCATTTTCCTAATGATTAATGATATTGAGAATCTTTTTTTTTTTTGTCTTTTTCCGTGTCCGGCAACGGATCGCAACCCTCAGTGTCGCC